CGTTCGGCCATCTGCATTACATCCAACTCGCAGATAGCATGTTTTTAGTCTCTGGAAACAGACTCATGCAACCGGCTCTCAAGTCTAACAGAAATTGTTTGTGATGCACGTAGAACGTGTAGGAAAAGGAAGCAACGTTCGCGACATCTCCCACAGCCTTCCCTTGCGCCTGCCCAACATTCGAGTACACAAGCATCCTTGACCGCCTCTGCAGAACGGAGGAAGAATATCCAGTCAGCAAGTTGTGGACCATGAAAAGCACTCCGTCGAGGAACTGACGCGTCCTGTGGCCTGAACGGTCAGATAGACCAGCGACGGCACTGTGATATTTGAAGTGTATTTGGAGGCTCAAGTCCAGACGGTCGCCTTTATGGAAAGAAATTGCGAGCGATGTACTGGATTTATTTATTTCGTTTTGTCATCGTGGGCTGACGATCCTTCGTAGCCTTTCTTGATATTTCATTCCAATACCAAAGCTCCTAGGCAAAGTGACGCAGAGGGGCAGGAGGCGGGCAAGAGCGGGCTTGATTGCCATCTATGGGAGTTGATCACATTCGCCAAGTATTTGATGCGCCGCCGTAGATACAATTTTTTCTTCTGCACACAATGCTGGCTAAACTGCTCTCAGGTTGCACGTTTTCTGTCCCTGGCTTCTCGCCTTGAACTTCAAGTTCATGCTGCTTCACGCCTGCATTTTTTTTTTTCAAACCTGAAACACTTTGACAATGCTTCCGCTAAGCGGAGGTCGGGGATTTGGACGGAGCATCAAATCACCGAAAGCCTTTTTGGGACGACTGCGAATCTCTGCGAATCCTATCTCATAGACTCTCGCATATATCCTCGTTACCCTCTGCGACTGTCGACGGAGCGCCAAAGCTCGAGCCTTCTTCACTTCAAGCAATCTCTGCTGCAGACCATGGCAAGTCGCGACGTCGCATGTATAAGGCAACTGTCATTAAGCGCTAAGCGAGCTTCCTAATCTAGGGCGCGCACGATCGGCTAGCAAATGTTGAGCAAATGATAAAAGACAGATTTCTTCAGCCTGACCAGGTTTCGACTCCGGGCTCCCCCATCAATTCTACCTTGCCACTTGCCAGGGAACGAGGCTGCCTTCAGACCGCCAGGTCCTCCGGCCATTTCACCCGTTGGTGGATTCCTTCTTCCCCAAATTTCATGTACTGAAAACGGAGCGTATAGAACATGCAGGCGGAACCGATATCTTTCGATCCGTACACCCAGTATGCGGAGATCGCTACTACTTCCCCTCCTCCGTTCTCTGCGAACCGCCCCACCAGAGAGAAACCCACGCGCGGAAATACATACGACATGAAAAGTCATCCGAATCTTCCGACCATCGCATCGGGTCTCCGCTTGGGATACTATCCTACGTCGCTCCTTATCCTCGGTGTCTGGCTCGTCTTCCTCATCCTTCTGGTCTGGCTCCTTGAATCGGCCGTTAGGAATGGACCGCGCAGTCTCACCCAACCATGGTCCTACACCACACTCCCCAGTCTGTTAATTACCGTCTTCGCTCAGGGCCACGGCGCCATTACCGCGATGCACCTCGCGCGCGTCTCCGTGTCCGCGCTCCATTCCCCTCGTACCTCGCCAAACACCTGGGCTGAGGTCTTCTGGATATCCGACCGCGCGTGGCAGGGGCCCGTCGGTATCTTCTCGACCGTCGTGGCCGCGTCGCGACTCCGCGTCCGCACCTCCACCCACTTCATCCTATGCGCGGTGACCTGCCTCACCGCGCTCGTCACCCCCATCATCCTCTCGCGCGCGTATCCCATTCGCAGCATAAGCGTCAGCGAAGACACCACTATCACTCCATTCGCGCTCGATATGACTCGGATGGGCGCCGTCGACGGCTATGCTGAGATCGGCACGGGTGTCGGGTCGTGGACGACGGCTCTGTCCGTTGCGGACACTTACAACACCAGTGTCTACCTCCCTCCCGGCGCGTCGCGCACCGTCGACCCGACGGACTTCTTCTTCGCCGGCAACATTGACGGCAAGACAGCGACACTACCCGGTCTGCGCCTCAGTGGCCAGTGCACCCCAGTCGCGAGCACCGTGACCACGGCGGAGGAGTTCCCGGCCTACTGTCAGACCCAGATGCAGACCCAGGCTGTGGCGTATGTGTCCAAGGCGATCAACCTCACCCCGGCTTCAGTCAACCTCACGATGCGCGCCTGTGTCAATGCGAGCTGGGAGAACATATTTCTTGCGAACCCCGCTCAGCGCTCGGACGTGGCGTATATTTTCATCGACTCGAAAAACGCGACTGCCAGCCAAACTTCAGGGATATCCGTCGTTGGGATGATCCGGTGCGATACCTCCGTATCCACGGGCAGGGCGACGCTATCTGGTGCCAACGGCACGTTTTCGGGGTTCACTGAAGAGCAATTGTACAAGGAAACGCAGGCGGGCGAACCGCTGCTTGACCCGCTATTCGCCCTGATTTATTATCTGGACCACTTCCAAGCCACCGAAGATGTGGCACGGGCGTCTGTCGCTCGCGCTTTAGGATTCGTCGGGCTCAGCCCGAGCGGCGGTATCCAGACCTATACGCAGCCGTCGCTGCAGGAGATGGCCACTGGCTTGTGGCGAGGTGTCTCGTATGTCGTCACTGGTCTCGGCCTGCTCTCCCGCACGAACGAGGCATCGTACGCTGCAGTTCAGAGCGGGCTCGTCGCGGTACACATCCGGGAGCGGAGTTTCGCCATCGCAGCATACGTCTTGCTCGCTGTGTGGCTGCTTCTTCTCATCCTTATCACGGCGCGCAGCTTCAGGCCGACGTTTGGCGGCAGCTTCGACAGCTATGTCACTGCGAAGCTGGTGCTGGACAAGCCAGGGCTGGTTGAGAGCTCGGGTGGGGAACTCGCTACAAATGCACGGCTGCGAGAACCATTTGGGAGGGTTGGACGGGATGATTTGGGACGTGTCGTGGTTGCGGAGTGATACTGTACTTGTAAACCATAATAATATTCACCATCTTGTGCTACATAGAAAGCCTACATCGCGTTACTACTACTAGTACCAGGATATTGGGACATTGAGATGGTCTGTCACGAGGTACACGAAGCCTCTTCCTCTTCTTCCCACCAGCCGCAATCGATTCCGGTAAATTTTGCCAGCTGTTTGACTCACCCTCCCATTCTCAACGGGAATTCCCTCAACGTAAATCTTAGATGGTATTTCCGAACCTCGAGGACATCGTCGAGGACATCGTCGAGCAAGTTTTCCTTGATAAGCAGAGGGAAGACGGAGTGTACGACTATGAGAGCCTCCCAAAGGTGCCTCCACCGTCCTCAAGCTGGTTTCAAATCATCTTTACAGTTGCATTATCGGGGTCAGAACTTCCTCAAGTTGGCTCTCGTGTCCCGTAACTTCTTGAATCCAGTACGCCGCAACGTCTACGGTGACTTGCGGGTCGATGGCCCCGAACGCTTTCTGTTGCTCACGGGGCAGTTGCGCTTCTCTCCGCATCTGGCCAAGTTCGTGAAGGCGGTTTCGCTTATTTCTAGCTGCTCGCAGAGCACCCACATCGATGGCGAGGATCTCGATACGCCAGGAGGGTGGCAGCCGAGGAACGTGAGCTTCACCGCGATGAAATGGTTTCTCGATGCATGCCCGCAGTTAACGCGGCTCGAAACTAACGGCGGAGATTTTCTCTGGGCTCTTTCGCGTCAGGAACCCAAAACCGTCAAACTCACAGACATCGAGCTGCGCGGGTGCACCCGCTGCGAACCGCAGTCCCCGGATAGGTGCCAAATGGAACTTGGACGGAGTTGGCTGAAGTCCATTGTCGCCTTTCCACGTCTAAAGGAGCTGGGTATTTCCGACTTCCCTATGACTGACGGGCCTGATTTGAACCCAACACTGGGTATTCCCCCGGGCTCATCCGTCTGCACTGGACTCGCCATCTGCAACATCAACACCCCCACAAGTCAGCGCTCCCTGACAACGTTGTTGCGTAGCATGACATCCCTCGAGGAGCTCGTCCTCGACGGACTCCAGCCGTTGCCGCGCGGGGAGCTGCGAAAATGCCTCAACATCGTTGCATCGACATTGACACTCTTAACCATCACCGATTATAACTTCTACGGAGGGCACCAAGATCCATGGGAGAATGACACCGTCTCGGGCCTTAAACAGCTTAAGACCTTGTCCCTGAATGGTGTAGCTGTCACCCCGCCGTTCTTAGGCGGGCTTCCGCCTCGTGTCGAGCATCTACGCCTCTCAGGCACGGCTCTGAACTCTCTTCCTGTCCCGGTGTTCGCTGCGTGGCTTCGCCGCAACCCTTTCCCCCTCCGCGGCACCCTCAAGAAGCTGGACATTGTCGGGGAGCTGCGTGCAGATGGCACAAAGCGCGGACCCAAGGCATCAGACGCGCAGATAGCTGAGCTTGCTCAACTGTGCCTTAGTCTCGGCATTGTATGGAAGCACACAACGAACATGTACGAAGGCCTTTTCGACTCGGATGGAGGATCGTTTGGCGAGGTAGATTCAGATTTAGCATTCTAGTCTCGGAGAAGTGGGATTTCCGCGCTAGGCCTCTGCATTCGGAGATCCCCATCTTCACGCGTTGGAATTTCGGCTTTAAGCTGAATATGAAGCATCTTGGAAGTAGTTTTTGGGTTGGTTCCCTTTTCAGTTTCTAGCGGATCCGTTCTTTAAACCATTACTTCGGAGATCGGGCAGCCACATTTAAACCATGGCCTCATGCGGAATATTGTGGCCGTCGGAGTTCATCGGGGTGCTTGTGCCGTCTGGAAGATCTCGACAACATTCGCCACTGGCACAGAAAAAAACTGGACTTCCCACGTCGATCATCCTGCCTGAGAGTTGCGAAGGCTTCTTTAATTCCCCGTGAAGCTGCAATTGACTCTGCGAGGATCTTACTCCATGTCAGTAGATTGGAGATACACTTTGAGAGAATAATGGAGTCTCAACTTAGGTACCGTACTTACTGGACAAAAAGGCGTCGCGGCTCGGTCCACAATAGTTCAGTGGTAGAACAGCCCGCAACGCTGGATAGTCAAAAGCGGACGGTCGGAGGTTCAATTCCTTCTGTGGGCACGAGACTGAGGGCCGGGCTCGCGGGCTATGTTTAAACACCCTCTGTCCGAGGCAAACGCAGCACTACGGTGTGCACGTCCTTCTGTGTGCTAACTGCGTTTCACGAGGCATTTTTTTTCTGTTATTATCGGTCACCGTTCGTCGACGTTCATTGTTCTTAGGGGGTTCAGTATCACAGCAAACACTACTTGAACATAGATGGAACACACTAGCCAGTACTCTCCATTGGAAACGTTGGGAGGCGCGCCCTGATCACCGCATTGTGTTTTGCAATGGGACCGCTTGGCCCAGTGACCTGCCCTGAGCCGAGTCGTCAACTAAAAAGTCACAGAAAGAAATGTACGGAATGTATCCTTGCATTAGGCCGAGACTTTTTCAATTGAACCAGCACGTGTTCCTCGCTCAAGTTTCAACCGTGGGAATTTGGAATCAAACAAATGAACACTGAGCGAAAAAGGGAGCTTTCGGAACGGAAGAAGTCATTTTCAGCACGAAGTCTTTTCCAATCAATATTTGGTTATGCATGCACTCGATTTACTCGATCGAAACAGTCGACGAGCCAGAGTCGAACACCGTTATTCAGTTACAAATTTCGAGCGTTCTATGATTAAAGGAATAATGATATGTAGAATAAGTAGTACAAGTAAACCAATACACCGACAGAATACAAGAAAATACAGATATAATTCAAGAAATATAATTACTAATAATCCGATACACCTACGAGGCAGAAAGAGACATACACCTAGAGAAATACAACTCATGACGATAAAAAAAAGAGACAGAGGAAACTAAAAGGCACGCCCCTTCCCCTTCCACAACTTCGAGGCGGGGGAACCTTGATGGTTGTAAGGGCTGAGAGGCAAGCGATCGTTCGTCGACCCCTCCTAAAGCATGAAAAGCGTGCTCAGAAATTTTGTACGGAACCAGTCAACGACAACGTACCGGCGTGCACGGGGCTTCCGCGGTAGGGAGCACAAACTACATCGGACAGTTCAGCCTAACTAATCAGATGGAAGATAAAGCACTCGCCTGGAATGCGGGCCCTAAAGACGAGCCTTCTGGGGCTGAGTCCCGACTGAGAAACTGTGGAAAAGGAATCAGACGCCGAGGGACACAACCATAGCGCAAAAGATACATGCCGGACGGCGGGGTGATTTTTCCTCCAACTAAGCACGGAATGAGGATGAGGAGTCCAGCTGCGCACATTTTGTGAGAGGTATACCGCCTCAGCGAAGGAAAAACGTACCTCGGAGATTATTCCGTCCTCCCCCTCGGTAACTTGTATCAAACCACGCAATCCCTTGAGCGCAGCCTCGACCTTGTGAGGTACAATGAGTGAATACAATACTGAAAGAGCTATGCAGGTAGATACACACGGAGGAAGGAGGGGTTTGAGTGGAGCGGCAGCCGCTCGGAACCGGTGACTATGTAGGGATCATCAGGAAATGGGTAGGTATACAGATACAGCGTACGCACATTACTCAGGAATCTTTCGACGCCAGCATCAGTTACATCGGTGGATGAAACAGGCACCTTCGACTGACGGCCGTCAGAATGATGCATAAAAAGCCCCGGAATCGAATACCCACGTCGGTCGTAGACTCGTCGCCATTGGTGGCGGAATCAACGGAGGGCGCTTTCAGGCTGACCACCATCGCGTCCTAGTTGACCACGTCATGATCAGTTGTTGCAGGACGGCGAAGAAAGGTCACATACTGTCGACTCGGAGCCCTGTTCGCAAAGTTGCAATTAATTGCAGCGAATCGTGTTCGGGATTTGTAAGTACATACCTTGTTCACGACTACCGCATCGCCTTGCACGTCGCTCCCCATACTTACATCGGACGTCGGATCTGACTCTCCGTCAAGAAGGGACTGGGTTGCGTCCAGCAGATATTCCGATCTGTCGAGCAACGAATGTGAAGAGGTGAGGAGCTCTTGCGTCGAGTCCAGCAGGTTCTGGTTCCAGTCCAGCACAGATTTGGTTTGGTCGAGAAGGGCCTGGGTAGCATTGGGGGGAACGGAGGTGTCCTCAAGTGGAGACTGAGAGGATTTGCTTAGTGGTCGTGTACAAACAACTCCTCGTAGACGTACGAGTTTCGGGTTGCATTGGACAGTGTAGACATTATCAAAGAAGCGCAGATCTTTCACGTGAGGTTAGCTTGGACTGAGCGTCAGAATAGCAGGTTGCAGTGGGACACACCTGCGGGAAGCTCTCCTCGGTTGGCCCATGGCGCCTTCTCCTTCTCAGTCAACTCTCCCTTGTAAACTCTCCCTTGTAATCTCTGTTAAAAGTATTTCAGCCAAATGTTGTAAATCGAATGGATTACTGACACGAATGCCGTGCCAGCTGTCCGAATGATGGGCTCGAAGATAGGCCACAACCACGCCAGCGACCGTCCCATCCCTCGGTCCCCCGTCTCCGACCATTCAGCACCAACGAATTCCATAAATCCGTCCTCTATTCTCGTAACATCTATGATCAGCCTGTCATCTATTTTCTCGACGACGCCTTTGAGGACGGCGGAATGTACAGCAGTGTCTTGTACTGCCTAAAAAACGCTGTTAGCGATGCTTCGAGCTCGGAACAGGTTCGAAGTACTTTCGCGTAACCCATGGGCTTTCCTTCGAGGGAGTCTAATGCGATTAAAAACAGACACAGCCGGACGATACCATCGCCTTTGCCTTTGAACTCCTCGCGTAGAGCTTGGGAAGCTAATCGTGGGACGGTGCGTAGGACTGGGAGGGACGAAGGCCTGTATTCAGAGCTTTTCACGTAGGCGAGAGTCGCGTTATCGAGTGTGGCCTCCATGGCGTGGATGTGGTAGAGGAGAAGGAGGGAGGTTTGGATGAAGCTTGGATGAAGCCGGAGTTGGCTACCTTTTGATTGCTGCACTGCCACTGACGCGTCACCACGTCTTTCTGCCCCAAGGAGAACGACAAGTGTGATCTGCAATCGTTTCAATTATCAATTTTGATTCCGTGAGACTGGCGAGCTTTTTGATACGTATAGGCAAACATCATTTCGCTCGTCGCTACACTGGGATGTCGTCTTATGTGTCTCAAATGTATGACTGCAACTCACCTCTCCAGGGCATTATAAACCTTGCATGGTCAAGCCTATATATCCGATGGCAAACCGTCTCCTTCCAAGACCACTATAGTTCAGCGGTAGAATCGCCCACAAACAGTCGAAACCCGACTTAGGGTGGACGAGGGTTCAACTCCCTCTAGTGGCACCAACTTTGGGGGCCGGGCGCCGGGTTTACCTCCCCGTGGCCGCGAGGGGACACAGTACTACGGTCCGCACACTCCCTGTGCTGTAATGTGTTCATTCAACGAATTTGTTTTATTACCATGTGCCGCAGGTAAAATGCCATCTATACTATGTCGGATTATATCCCAGTGGGCATGTTTGAAAACTGCGTGAGTCGAACTAGTGCTTCTCAAAGTGATTCTATAGAGGAAGCTGGGCGGGTACTAGCCTCTAAAGCTCTCCTACATGCATCACATAGCCTGTAATATATTTGCGTACAACTAGACAGTGATAAAACAACTCCCAACGTCCAAAAAGTTAAATGATCCCTTGCCCGCGAGGGGGCTTAGTTTCATTCCGCACTCACGCCTGTGCGGTTTATAAATTTTAAAAAGTTGTGGAGGTGGATTCTGTTTGCAAACCTCATCCGTGCAATGGTCACACCATATGTAGCTGTGCCCGTCATGCGTACGGTCGAATTGGGAAAGGTAGATCTTGGAGATCACATTATCTGAAAGTGCGCTCATGATGGCGTAGTGGAAGGAACAACTTCCTGAAGCGGTGGGATTTTGCATCAGGAAGGATGAAGAAGGAAGAGTTTTCACGGTACTTTCAAGTTTTGGTTGGTTTGTAGTAAACGAGAGTGGCGGTGTAGATTAGATGCCCTTGTAATCTGATTATCTCCAATGATCGCCTACAATATTAGTCTAAATCCAGGTGATCCAACGGTTGCACGCGTATTCCAGAATCCAAGGCTACTTAGTCTCTCTTCCAATTCCTCATCCGGTCTCCGTTCCATTGAAATAAACGCGGCTTAAAAGCCCTCTGTAATTAAACGTAAATATAAGTTGCGCTCCCAGTTTGCTCAGCAAGAAAAGTTGGTTATAATTTGTTTCTCAACTAGATCTATCATCTGAGGCAACTTGGAGTAAAGCTGTACATTCTCATAACTCATCAGGAGCACCTCGAGCCTAGAAAATCAGCATCAAAGGGAGCAGGCCCGCAGTTTACACTTTTAAATTTCTTGTACAATTGGGTTTCGCATTTCCTCTCTATGTGAATTTGCCCTCCTTCCAGCGTCTAACGTGGGAGCCCATTTCCACCGCAGCCAAACCCCAATCTTCACCATGGTTATGTCCGGTCGGCGTCAGCCCTGCACGGTCGAGCGCCTGCTCATCCGTCAAAGCAGTCAGAACGCCAAAGATGACGGGAACGCCCGAGTCGAGCTGGACTTTCATGAGCGCGTGTGACACGGAATCGCAGATGTATTCAAAGTGCATCGTCGAGCCTGTGGTATTCAAGAAGAGTTGTGAGCATCAATGCTCCGGTAAGAAGACAAGACTGCGCACCTTTGATGAGGACACCGATAGCAATGACCGCGTCGAAGGGCTCATTTGGCATCGTCACCACGCCCGTGGGTGCGGGGGTCCCTGCGCGTGAGCTCCCGCTACCAAAATTGAGACCGCCAAGCAGATCCGTGACGTTTGAGGCCGCCTGGACATGTGAGCCTGCAATGACTCTGCGAAAGGCAAAAAATTATGAGAATTGTAACATCTTCTGCGACAGACCAGCTGATATTGACCTAGAGCAAGCCAGGGGAAGCTCAAAGCTTCCAGGGACCGATTGGATAATGATGTTGCTCTCCTTCACACCGCGCTCCTTGAGCTTGGCGACGGCGCCGGCGACGAGGGCCTCGATAACGGTCGCATTCCAGCGGGCGTGCACAATAGCTACACGAAGAGACGAGCCGTCGTATTGGACTGAAGATTCAGAAAGTCCCTTAATGGTGTGGCTCATGATAGAATTGATGACCGTTTCCCTTTAGGTCATGTTTTCCCACGAACTCTTCGAGGATATTCAGCCTGCATTCGGCGTAAGGCCGGGGGTTTACAAGACTGACATTTATTTCCAGATTGGGGGGGTCAAGAATAAGGCCCCCTGATGTCTAAGTCTGCAGTGCCGGACAATCGAGATGGTGGTCGATGAATCCAGCGCGGTTCTACCGGCAGGACATCGAAAGCGCGAGGAAGGGTCAGCCGAAATGGAACCAAGAAAGGGGGTACAGAAACGAGGGCAGAGGATCGGGACATGAACATCGCATGAGAATTATAGTATACATAGAGCATTATATCTAGATATTAGATTCGGGTGTCTTCTCAAGTTAGCCCTTGCAGCTCCTCGAACTTGCGCCTGGCCATTCGAATATTCAGCTTCAGAGCAGCGGTTTCTACGCGCCATGAGCCATACATATGTCAGATTAGAGTATGAAAGGCGCACCTATTGTCGGGTCGTGCACGATTATCAGCACGTACGTGTTCTTGGTCATTTCGTCGAGGACTGCCGAGAACTCGGGCAGCTCCATCTCGAGCGAGTGGAACTCCTCCCGGACGCGGGAGCATGAGTGCTTGAAGGCCTTGATGAGCTCCGAGGTTCGCTCGTACCGCGTCGCCTCCAACGCGGCGTCCGGTTCTGGGGGCGGCGTGGAGGGTGGTGTGCTGGTCGCGATCACGAGAAAGGTCGTGCGCTCAAAGAGGATGACCTCCGTTGCGCTGCACGCCTCGGCAAAGATCGTGAGGTGCTTTGTCAGAACGGCGGCGTTGGGGATGAGCGTATGCACAATGCTGGACCACGCCTGCGAGAGTGTAAAGTACATGGAAAAAGCATACGGACGGAACGCTTACCCGATACAGACTCTCGTCGTAGATGCTCGTCCCAAACACGGTGAGAGACGTCAGCGCTTGACCCTGACCCTTCTCGCTTTGCTCCTGCAGCTCCTTCTTCTTGCGCTCAAACGTCGCGCCTTTGTCCCGCGCGAGATCCATCTTGTGCACGAGCAAAAACACAGCCGCCTCGGGGCTAAACTGCCGCAGCCCGTCGAGACAGTCACGGTAGTATTCGAGGTCCTTGTGCATCTCGTTCGTCTCGACGTCGAACACATAGATGAGCACGCCGACGTGCTGGAAGATAGTCGAGCGCTGCGTCGTGAGATACGAGTCCATGAACGCGTCCTGGCCGCCACAGTCCCAGAGATTTAGGATGAGGTCCCCCAGGAAGCGGACGTGGTTTTGCTCCACGTCGATGGTCGCGCCGAGACGCGCCGTGAGGGAGGCAGGGTTGTTGGAGCTAGCCGCAGTCGGTCATTCCGGCCGTTCCGGACGATAAGAACATACAATATCAGGGAACGCATGGAGGTCTTCCCGCTCCCAGAGGCGCCCATGAGAAGAACCTGCGCTATAAGCATCGCACTCGGATACGGCGCCGTAGTCTTACCTTTTTCTTCATTTCAGCCAGAATCTGGTCTTGGAAGACGGTAAAAATCAAATGCTCTGGAAGCTTTTAGTTAGATGTAAGCGCGCGGGCGCTCGGCGTCCGAATGAGAGGAGAAGACTGGATCCGCTTTTGTGCGAGAACGAGTTTGTGTAAAAGGTTGATGGCGTTTAAACCAAACAAACTGCGGTGGCAGTGCCTGTCGGCCACTTTTTGCCCTTTCTGCGAGCTATGGACGGGAATCTTGCAAGTGAGTTCACACACAATCCCGATAGTCGGGAGATAATTGAACCTATCCAGCGACTTATACGCTAATACACGCATTTCTGACAAAACGGGCACACCCCAAAGCCGCGGAAGCCTTGAAAAAGGCTGCAAAAGATGTTGTCATTTTAAAAGACAACTTAAACATAGATGGGCCCCAATTAGACGACATTATACGAGAGTGGAAGGTTCTCAAAGAGGCATCTTCCGGCTCGTCTTCGTGAGTTTTGTGGCTAGGATTGTAATTGCCCTCTGAATTAAGCAGTTCCTCTTCTTCCAGCAGTTCGAGTTCTAGCTCAGATTCGAGCTCCTCGAGCTCTGATTCCGATTCCGATTGTGCGTTCCACTTTCCAAACTTGACCCCAATACTGAAGCAGCTCAGCATCCTCGGATTCCAGTGATTCGAGCTCCTCGTCGAGCTCATCCTCCTCATCCTCGTCACCATCCGCGTCGAGCAAGTCGTCAAAACAGAAGAAGACGAAAGTGGTGCCTGCAAAGGTCTCTTCGTCTTCCAGCTCTGACTCGAGCTCCGACTCTGACTCCGAGTCGAAAGCCAAACCAAAAATCGCGGCCCCCATTGCTAAAGTAAAATCCAAAAGCAAAGCAGCGACACGGCCCACGAAAAGTAGCACGTCGTCCTCCTCCTGGAAATATCTCATGCCTTAATATGTTCGTAGCGTCGGCGCCTTCCTCGAGCTCGTCATCTGATGATTCTGGGTCGGAATCGGGTGCGGAAACTACCTATGCGTCGTTTATCACAAGCACTGACAGCTTGCGAACAGACGACGAATCGAGTGATTCGGACACGACCACTCCACCTAAACATGCTAACGATCGCGACTCCAGTCGCACGCTTTCCACACCGTCCCAGAGCGTCGCGGGAGACGCGAACACGGGGGTCGCGGGCCCTGTATCGGGATCTTCATTGTCTGCGGGAGCTGTCGTGAAACCCAGTGCAACGTCGGACGACTCGGACTCGACATCTTCGGACTCCTCTTCAGACTCGGATGCGGAACCAGCACCGGCACGAGCTAACGTAGTCAAGACAAAGAAGACCGACACGCCCGAGCCTCCCGCGGATGATGTCCAGGTTACGAAAAAACGGCGCACATCAGAGGGTGGCGCGTCTGTGCCCACTGCGATGGTCGTCAACTCTGAGGGTGACGCTAACGGCAAACCGGAACGGGCCGGGAAGCCCGCACGCAAAATTAATGCCCCCTTCCAAAGGGTCAATCCTGACAAAGTCTCGGTGAATATCATGATGGATAACAGGTATCAGATGAAGGTGCGTTTGGCGCGTCAAGAATGCTCCGCTGAAACTAACCGAAGTGAGAACAGGCAGGGCCGAGCAATGATTATGGGCAACGTGCCCACAACGACCTCATCGTCACCCGAGGCGCAGGGTTCCGCAAGGAGAAGAACAAGAAAAAGCGCGGGAGTTATCGTGGTGGG